TGTGTCCTAGCTGGACAATCCTTTCGCAGGGATAGTTTGAATGATTTTTTATGTGTGTCCACCATCGATTAACACGCAAAATCGAGCTGTGAAACAATAACAGACAATATCAATTCGTTCAAGCTTATGTTATTCATGTGTGTCAAAAACTCCAAAACTGTTATCAGATAACCAACTTTCAATAGTATTTTAAAGTGCATTGTAAAATTAAAAAATACAAAGGTTTACCACAATTTTAAGCAGAAAATTAGTTGATGGGAATTATTTAGCTATGAATTAAAAAATGTTCATTCCAGTATCCCCAATATTACAAACACTACACTCTACTGGACAACATACAGAGTCTCCATTAATAGACAAATGTTTATACATAGCATGAGACGCTCACCCTATCGACGCAACCGATCTCGCTTTTTCTTTAGTTATTGTGATTCCCTCAGTTTTTGTTTGTTACTTTGTTTTGTCTTCTTAATCAATTTATGAGATTTGAACATCAATAAACTATTGTTGCCATTGTCAAGCTCTAAATCGCGTCGTCTATAAAATTTGTCAATAAATCTCAAAAAGAAACTAACAGCTATCATCAACAGCTTCTTTATAGAATAAACACGTTTGCAAAAGACCATAATTAACCATCTTCTGAGTCGGGACACTCGCTTTAATCTATTAGTAGTTTTCTGACTACCGACCTCCCTTTTGATTTTTTGATTTTTTGCAATGATTTTTTTACATATTGCATGTGATTTATTCGGTCAGTACTTTTGTCGAGGGAAACAGGAAATTGTATTTTGATTAAGCTATATAAAACTTAGAATGGTATCGATAATGCGATGTTTTTCTATATATGAATAAATGTGAGGATGTGGGGTAAAGTTCAATGAGATAGCAACCCAACAACACAAATACACAAAAGACATACAGTCTATTAAAACATTACACAAGTGTGCCTATGTCAATCCTTTAATCAATAAAGTTGTAACTAGAGAAAACAGATAGATCTGCCATCGTCACAAACATATCCAATGAGAAAAAAACCATAAAGATATGGCATAAGACAGCTGCTGATGAGGTTCCTGTGATGGGACAAACACTACGGTATTGAAAATGGTCATCCGGACTTCCCCCGTTTCGGTAGAAAATTAATTGTTAAAGCTGTGCGGGATATATAAATACACAGTCACGTTCGGTCGGAAAGAGGACATTAAATCCGATGTCTCGTGTAGGGAGAGAGAGATAGTGCCAAACTCTCTGCATTTAAAGAACCAATGCAACAAATGTTTGAGGGGTCAGTAGGTAGCCTGTTGCAAGGGTAACTTTCTGTCTCCTATCTAAAAAAGTATAACAAAAATAACAAACTCCACGGTAAATTCAAAAAGGGGAAGTCCATAGAAACCGACAAAATCAAACGTTATAATTAATCAACCAAACGGAACAAATGGTAAACAACTGTCATTTTCCTAGCTTTGTACAGACATTTTTCGAAGAAAATGATGGGTTGAATCTGGTTTAATAGCTACCTCAACTGCCCACTTGTATGATAGTTGTTTATAGTTCCGTTTTATGGACATGACTAAATTGGGTGAGCAGTTCAAGATAACCTCATTTCCAGTTGCAGTCTAAATTTCATTTAGATGGTTTCTCGTCCTGACTATATAAGGAAAAATTGCCATTGAACGTTATGCAAGCAATCAAAAATCAATATATATTTATATATATTAATTATGAAAAAAACTTTTGTTGATACAATGGTATACAGAAACACATAGACATACATGATAATATATAAGACATATGATGAGGTAACAGCAAATAGAGACTTCTTATAGAGAAGAAAAGAATGCATAGGTTTGAAGGCTTACTTACATTTTATCAGAGAGAATCCATTTTTTTAATTTATGATTCTAATGAACTTACACAACTTTTTAAGTTCAATCCATTAATATATTATGATGTCAAACTAGTTTACAGAGAACTCAACCCTTCCACTCTAATCTCGAACAATGGACCTATAAAATATCTATTAAAGAACATTACTTGAAATTCAGTACAGAAAAAATATTATCTTTTTACTGTAGGTCCTTTTTGAATTGGTCAGCTTTTCAATGTTTGTATTAGATTTTGTAGTTTTCAAATATTTTGGCTTAATTGTCGAAATGTGCATCTCGTGCAGTAAAGTTGGTCCCGTTTGTTATTATTATAACTCTGCTGATGGACTACATGTACTAGTCTCAGAGAGTATCACCATACCAGTAACCGTTACTTCAGTACTGGCATGAAAATACGGATATTGTTTGATAAAAATTTGCTGTTATTGAAGTTTGGAAAATTTTCAATTAAGGAATATACCTCCCTCATGCAAAGCTCTAATTCCTTGTCCGGATTTGTCTATACTTAAAGTCCTTTTTTTGTTTTGATGAGCTATTTAAGGTTTGTATTGAATTTTGATTTTCAAATATTTTGGCTTCGAGCGTATCACTGAAGAGACATTAATTGTTGAAATACCAGCAATCCTCTTGTGCCAATTGCTAATTTCAAGATGTATCATTTGCGCCAGATATTTATTTCCAAAGGTATCAATTGCGCCAATATACGGAATTCAATTGCGCCAATTTACCTGTACTATTATTTATCGTACATGATAATCCTTGATAAAAGATGCAATCATAGATTAATAATTCTTTTTAATTAAATTTTGAATAACAAAACTCCAGAGATTTTAATGTATGATTCAGCGGGAGGTAGACATGAACATTATACAAGACAATGAAGTAATATTTTATTCCAACTATATACAAGACTAAAGAGTTTTATCAATATAAATTGGCGCAATGGCATACTTTGGTGCAACTGATACTAGGCATTTTTAAAACTAGTGGCTCAAACGTAGCATTGGCGCAAATGAGTTGTGGCGCAAAAAGGACACATTTTTGGTGCAAACAGATTTCTCCCGCCGAAATAACGGTTAATCTAAACAAAATTAAATTGAATAACGGTATATGAAATTACAACAACACATTTACAAACAAAATGAATTATGATTATACATACCTTTATCCAAACTCGTTATTTGGTATTCAAATAATGACGAATCTCTCAATCGAAAATGCCAGTCTACTAGATATCTTATGGTAAGTCTTGGTAATAAAGTGAGCTTTAATTGATGCTCTCTGCATTGATATTAGTCATTGCTAATTTGGTTTAAACAATATTTTATTCGATAAGTCAAATCATGCTATATAATATAATACAGTATAAACAATGGGATTCAGAAACAAGCAACATTGCTTATTTTAATCTGTCTCCAATTGCTAATTTTTTATGTTGTAATTAGAAAATAAAAAAATAATACGTCTGGAGATCAATCTTCTTCTTGCAATGACTGATGTGTGAGCTTTTGATGATGACCTCATTGTGAATATGAAGTGATGAAGACAATACATCATAATATGTTGTTACTAAGTTTTAAAAGTGTTGAATATCATTTATCGTTAAAGATGTTTTTTTTAAAAATAAAATAAGGCGTACTAGGGGTATACATTTAGGCTTGATGAGATTGAATGTTTCTTTTTGTAAACGAGGAAGAAGTCAATTATGTATATGTCTGTCAAAATTTAGGGGTTAATATATATATAATATTCCTTTAAACGAACTAGCCTCATCAGGCGCGTACAGCAATCCATGCAGCTGAAAAGTGAAAGCTTGTATGAAACTTTTGCAGCTTATCGTACAAATGGATCTAATTGTGCTATGTATATTGTATGAAGTTCAAGTTTATTCTTGCGGTTTATGATAAAACTCTAATTGAGTCCGTCAGATTTAAGCAGGTGCATCCAAAATCTCTCTCTTCATCTCTCTTTGTTTTTTGTCTTGTGTCTCCTAATTTTGGTTAGTCTCTGTTATTTGAAAGGAGATATTTTTAAAGAATACCCTGTTGTTAAGAGTTGTCTCTTGGTTGGACAGTTTCTCCCTTTTATTCAACATCTGATGTTAAGTATAGTTTCTGTTTCACCAACATATTGTAGCTTGCAAGTTCCACATGTAAGAACATAAAACTATATTCCATTTTGTGTTGCCTATTTGTTGTATCGGTGCGTTGTTACTAGGCTAATGCAAGTGGTTTCGGTGTTGGCGGCTTTAATCTACATCAAGCACAATTGCTTCTTCCGCATGGTTTATAGCACCCGATTTTCGAGATGTCTTGTTTTTTTACCCTATAGATGTAAACAGAATTGATAATGGAAATAGGGAATGTGTCAAAGAAACAACAACCCGACCAAAGATCGAGCAGAAAACAGCCCAAGGCCACCAATGGGGTCTTCAATTACCACAGCGAGAAAATCCCGCACCCGGAGATGGGCTTCAGCTGGCCCCTTAACATAAAATGTGTACCAGAATATCTTTGAGAAATTGGGATCTGTGGTAAGCCATAACAGGAGGTGATGGAAAATTCTCTTTAAAGGATTGGTCATTTTCAATAAGACGCCAGTGTTTGTGGATAGTAGATGATCGGGTTTAAAAGTGACGCCAAACGGAATTATGTTTGTTTGGATCGTCTTATCTTAGTATTCTATGAGGATCTTTTTGTCTTCTTATTGAGCTTTACTAAAAGATTCCGTAATTTTGTTCGTTTTTGTATTATCTTGACTTAAGTTGTATTCTGAGTTGTCCCAAACCGTAGTTGAGTTTGGATATCAAGGATCAAATTCACTTTAGTCTGATGGCTGGACTATAATTGCTCCGGGAGCAGTGTTTCTTGTGACAACTCTTAGACGACAGAATCTGTTGTATATCAGTTTTCTTTGTGCGGAAATCAGTTGTCATGACCCCGTTTTTCATAAATGTGGCGGTGTCCAGAATTTCATTTTTCTCGCTTTAAAATTCAGATGCAAATTTTATAGAATAATGGAAATGAACAATTACCTAAAAAATCTTGTAAATTTTCTGTATTATCATTCCATTAGATATCGATGTCATCAATAAAACGGAGCCAAACAAAAACAAACAAACAAATACTTTATTTGCCAATCACGGCGCACAAAATGAGCAGAATAATTCAAGCATAATATAAAAGTAAATCAAAAATTGGTTAAACAAAGTATATAACATGATTAGTTTTGATTTAATTGATTAACATATAATATCAAAGTAAATGAAATAAGTAATTTGTAAGCCAGAACAAGGTTGTGTATGACACATTCAAAAGGATGCATTCTTTGAGTTCCTCCATACAAATGTTGCCAAAAAAGGTGACAATTGTTAAACAAATCTTAAATTTTTGCACAATGACATTCAAACCCTTGGAAAATAGTAGTGAATGGACGATTTAAGTTAATGTTCTCAAGTTTAAAGTAAAAGTGACAACTATTGATTTGATAATATTGACGAATTGCCCTCAAACAGCTCTACAACAAATTATTATAAGCATAATGAGAAATAATCAAAGATAGAAATAAGAAGATGTGGTATGAGTGCCAACGAGACAACTCTCCATCCAAGTCACAATGTGTAAAAAGTAAACAATTATAGGTCAAAGTACGGCCTTTAACACGGAGCCTTGGCTCACACCGAACAGCAAGCTATAAAGGGCCGTTTACATTAATCCACATTCGTGATGAACTATACTAGATTGAGAGATGATTTTATGTCAAATCACTTGTATCTGCTCTCACTTCTGTTTAAGGTCGTTTAGTTTTTTTATTGCAACGTTTCTTTGCGAAAGAGCTTGTTGCTTCGCTGCTTTTAATTGATCTTTTTCCTTCTCCAATTGTGCCACCTTGGTATCTCTTTCTTCGGACGACTTTTTCTCTCTCTTCAACTCTTGATTTAGGGATGTCACCTCTTTTTTCTTTTCATCAATTTCTTTCTTTAATCTATCAATCTTACTTTGTATTTTATGCCGGTTATCTTCAATGTTACCTTTTAAAGCTCCAAGTTCAACTTCTAAAATCGACTTTTTGTGTAGTAATTCTCTGATCTCCAAATTTTTGTCGCCAATTTCATTTTCTAATCTTTTTACTCTGGCATCATGTTCTTGGAGTGCCTCCGAGACACCAACCTTCACTAACTGTTTAAACAAAGGTTGAAGGTCTTTCCTAAATAATGGAGAGGAAACTATATTGAAAGTTTGCACTTTTAACATATACTTTTTTGTTCCACAAGAGAAAAAGGCACTAAAATTTATTTTCAAAACAACATAAAAACAAGAATGTGTCCATAGTACACGGATGCCCCACTCGCACTCTCATTTTCTATGTTAAGTGGACCGTGAAATTGGGGTCAAAACTCTAATTTGGCATTCAAATTAGAAAGATCATATTATAGGGAACATGTGTACTAAGTTTCAAGTTGATTGGACTTCAACTTCATCAAAAACTACCTTGACAAAAAACTTTAACCTGAAGCGGGACTGACGGGCGGACGAACGAATGGACGCACAGACCAGAAAACATAATGCCCCTACTACTATCGTAGGTGGGGCATAATAAGATGTGGAATGATTGCCAGTGAAACAACTATCCACCAAAGTTCAAATGAAGTGGATGTAAGCAATTATAGGCAACCGTACGAGAAAAAACCCTTAAACCATTGTGATGACGTCAGCCTATTCATTTACCGTGGATTCTTTTTCTAGAATCAACGCTTCCTAAATCTGCCGCTGAAATGGACTCACCAAATTATATTCGATTGTTTCCTTTATGTGTCTAATTTCATTAAGTTTGAATTGGCTAATTTACTGATTTCTGTTCACCAATGGAATTAATTTAAAAACTTACCTTTAATTTTTGTAATTTGTATATGCCTTCACTGGGAATCGAACCCTTCCTTGAAATATGTTATGAATGACTGACATCAACACATCGACGAAACCTCTCGGCTACCAATGGGTTACAACTTAGATGTCTATTTTATATATATAAATGAACATCGGACACACAGGGGTTGTACCTTTATATATACACAATGGGCAGTCGTATAGTATAAGTTGGTAGCCGCGAGGTTAGCATGCTTAAAATCAACGAGTTAAAAGATAGGGATTTGTCGGTTTAGGTTCGAATCCCTGTATTATCTCTGCTGTCCCAATTCTGTTTTTTTTCTAATTTTGCATGTTATAGTGGATATTTTTGTAATAATAGCGTATTTTACCGTTTATTTTTTGGATTATTATTGGCTATTTCACATGTTTGAAACAAAAATGATTACATTCTATTTGTCAATTTTTGTTGTATAAATATAGTATGATTTCATCTGTTTTACTACATAATTTTACAAATATTTGTTCGCAAATTCCTATGCTAGAAAATCGTGATGTGCATAGAGTGCTAGAAATGTCGGTAACATACTTATTATATATACTTTATATATGCTCTTTGGTCGGGTTGTTGTCTCTTTGACACATTCCCCATTTCCATTCTCAATTTTATTAGAAATAAGTTCGAATATGTCTTATTTTGTAAAAACAGATAATATTCAGATGCCTGATAAAATAAAGATCTTTAAAGGTAGAAGTGTTATATTTGTATTTTGTTAACCAATTAATTGTGATCTGAGAATTATCAATGCATCGTTGGACACGATAACATGGTTATTTAAACTCACTTACAATACCTTCTAATTAAGAAAAGGCTTTAATTTTGAAAAGAAATTAACACAATAGTTTAAGTTATAGATACAATGGATAAGCGTAGATTCATGAAAAACAAACCATTCGCCCTCCGGGCTCATGGTTTCTTTTTCAAGAATCCACGCTTATCCATTGTATCTATATAACATACCGTATAGTCGGCTACAAAAGGCCCCGACATAAAAAATATGAAACAATTCATTTGAGAAAACTAACGGCATAACTTATAACAAAAAAAAAATATAACAAAAAAAAATATGACAGACATGCACAAAAGCATATATAGAAAACAGTTACTATAGCAAAGGATTAGTGTCCAAAGGATTAACTTGTCATCGTCAGAGTGATTTCCATTACGACAAACATATATTTAACAATAGAATTAATTAAACACAAAGAAATGTAAAAGGTTTGATAAACGGATTAATAAATTGTCACTATAGCACTTAAAATATATTGTCGGAATTAGCTTTATTTCTATTACACATTTGTCCAAATCTTCCTGGTTATATTCGCCACTACTCCACCTAAACTCGGTCTCCGAGTTTGACGAATGAATTTTGTTATCGTCGTGGGTATCCTCCTCCTCGCCGATGACGTTGCTGCGAATTACCTCGCGAGCAAATTGCAAGGGTCGAACGCACATCTCGGTTTGAATGTTTTATATTTAGATGTTGAATCTCGTGTCTTCTGTTTACGTTCTCTTCCTTGAGTCTCTGAATTTCGTCTTCCATATCATTTAAGATGCGATTGTACTGCATGTCAGAATTTTTGAACTCCATTGTTAAGCGTTGTCTGGTGTTCGTTAAATTTAGGTTTTCCTCTTTCAGTTGAACTATTACTCTTTCCAAATGTTCATTTCTATCTGTATAACCACTTATTTCTTTTTCAAAAATTTTAGTTCGACTTGTATGTTCGACTAATTCATGTTCGATCTTTTGAATTATCCGGACATGTTCTAAACGTTCCAAATTTAATTTGTCCAAACTGTCACTCAACATTACATTATCTTTCACTACGGTATCCAATTTAGAATGAATTTTCACACTTCAGCACAGCGATTTCTTTGATGAAGTTTCGGTTAGACACTTTCAACTTGTTAATGTGTAGTTTCGCGGATTCGTCCTGTATGGAGCACGTAAAAGTGGAGAGTTCCTTGTCCTCGAGTTCTTGAAACGGAAATTGAGACATTTGTTTCTTCTCAATAAACGTTTTCATTCGGTCGCTGTCTCTTTGAATTTTTGACTTTGATTTCTTCTTCGGTTTTGGGTTTTCACACGACTTAACGTGAAAACTACACATACGGGCAAAATGTCCATGATGTTTGCACTTGTAACAATAAGCGTTAGCTGCATAACACCGATGGTAGGTGAAAACGTTCAATGTCTTACCGCAATATTTGCACAGAAAGTCCAAATAGGTATCTGCTTTTCTCATCGGAAACGGATGTCTATTTCTGCAAGGCTGGTAATTCCAGGTTCCTTCCATATAGTTGCTTCTAGAGGTTTTCATTACTATTTTGGGGGAATTAGCTCAAGATCGTGCCGCGGGTACCTCAACCAATATATAACCGGGCGTTTTCCGTGTTATAGTAATTCAAAGACGGAATACCAATACTTTAAACTTTATTAGCAAGGTCCGGACAGAACCAGACCTAAGACCTAAACTGACTACAAAATAACATACAAAAGCATATATAGAAAACAGTTACTATAGCAAAGGATTAGTGTCCAAAGGATTAACTTGTCATCGTCAGAGTGATTTCCATTACGACAAACATATATTTAACAATAGAATTAATTAAACACAAAGAAATGTAAAAGGTTTGATAAACGGATTAATAAATTGTCACTATAGCACTTAAAATATATTGTCGGAATTAGCTTTATTTCTATTACACATTTGTCCAAATCTTCCTGGTTATATATTAAAGAGTCGACATGATATGTTTTTCAACATCTTACATTATATATATGTATCCATAAACGCGAAAAAGTTATTCAGCTTTTATACATAATTTTGATAATTTTTTATTAAAGTTTACATGTTTTTTGTTAAATTTTCATGTAAAGGATATCCGTAAAGATTTGGTTTTGCTATTTTATGATTTTGATACGAAATGGTCTTTATATTTATTTTAGGATAAATATTCAAAATTTGCGCACAACCTATCAAAATTGCAGTCTTCAGCATTCATTAACTATTTATATTTTAAAGTTAAAAGTTGAAAATTGCGACATAATGTTTAAGGAAGAAGAATCTGGGGTATTGAAAATATTACTAACGATTGACTATGTTTACCTCTAGATGGTTTTTTGCTATTTTTTTCTTTGGGTTGTTGTCTTAATGCCATCTCTATATATCCATAAGTACAAACACAATTGTTTTATCTCCTTTTTAAATTTTCCACTGCTTCGGAGACCTGCGTCCGCCTATCAACATTTCTCCCCGAGGTAGAAGTTAGATATGACTCTCAAAACTCAATCCTCAATGCTTTTTCCTTAATCGCCCTGAACATGCATGAAATATTTGCTACTGGACGTTAAGCAACCAACGATCAATCAATTCTTAAGGGTAAATGATACGAGTAGGGGCATTAAAGCACATTAACGTCATAATATGCACCATTTTTAGGAAAACACAGAAAACTGCTAATTTTATGCAGTTTTCCGTCAATATTTCCTCTAAGGAAACATTGAGCGCAGGCAACAACAAACAACAAAATAATTTAAGAGAACTTCAAGCTTTGTCATAACCATTGACATATTCTAACCAAATAAAAAGTTGTTTCTTGGGTGCGCACATACTTTTCCAATCTAATATATACTTAAAAGTTAATGTAAAACAAGGAAAATCAAGAAATTTACAAAATATACACATTTTGTCATAGTTTGTTGCCATGGTAACTCGTTTAAAGTGAAATTTGTTTTTGTTTCTGAACACCGTGCACCTTAGTGTAGTTTTGATAAAATCCAGAATATGTATGGTAACTTTTCAATTTGCACGAATATTTTGGCCAAATAAGAGCCTTATTGTCCCTACTCCAACATAGGAAATCCACAATGACAAAGTTTATCTCGTTCCAGTTTTCTTTTAAACACATATCTGTTTTGGAAGTGACAATTTAATTTCTGTCCTACAAGGGTTGAAATATAAAAAGAATATGTGGTATTATTGCCAATTAGACAACTCTCCACAATTGACCAAATGACACAGAAATTAACAACTATAGGTCACTGTACGGCCTTCAACAATGAGCAAAGCCCATGCCGCATAGTCAGCTATAAAAGGCCCCGGAATGACAAGTATAAATCAATTCAAAGGTCTAATTTATGTACAAAATAATGAACGAAAAACAAATATGAAACACAGCAACATACGACAACTGCTGAATTACAGGTTCATGACTTGGGACAGGCACATACATAATGTGGCGAGGTTAAACTAGTTTGAAGGCGCCAATCCTCCCCCTAACCTGGGACAGTGGTGTAACAGTACAATATAAGAACACACTATAAAAATCAGTTGAAAAAGGCTTAACTCATCGGATGGATACAAATAGAAAAACATCCAACAAAGTGTACATCCCAACAACAAAAAGACACTTAGCACAGATCTGAGAGTACTCGCAGTTACTGACAGCTAGTTCAAAGCCAATAACAACTAATAAAAAAAAATCATGCATCTAAGACTAAATTATCAATCAGTACACATCCAACATCCAATGGATTGAGTGTAAAGACGTCATAAACAGTCAGAGAAAAACATGACATTGTGCAATGCCAAGATACAGGTATTGACAGATTGTAGAGCTATGAATGTGCATATGTATATAACGATAATATTTAGTTTGATTTAAATTTACTGATAACAAAATAAATATCAATAACAATAAAAACAATATTCAAAGATCTAATTACAGTGTTGAATTGGTAATCTTTTCGAATAAGTTTATTTAAAGTATCGATACGTTTACCGGGATCGTTTCTAAATTTCCGGGCTCGGAAAACAATATCTCCGTAAAAATGAGGATGTGCTATCCCGTTTGAAATAAGTTACAACCAAACTTCAAAACCAAATCTTTATATCTATGGAAGAATTTAGTAAAGGTTTTAAGTAATTTGTGGTAACGAAATCCCTGACTTAATAATTTACCAGTAATACATAGATTACGTTCATTAAAATCCAAAACGTCACAACAGACACGGGCATAGCGAACGAGTTGTGATATATAAACACCGTAAATTGGTGCCAAAGGAACATCACCATCCAAAAAATGAAAATTAACAATAGGGAACGAAAAATCGTTCCTTTTGTCGTAAATTTTAGTGTAGAGTTTCCCGTGTAAAACTGAAATATCTAAATCTAGTAAAAGGACAGTTATTACCGTTTATATTTGATTTATTCAAAGTAAGTTCCTTTGGGTAAATTTCGGCAGTATATTTAGAAAATTCTTGATTATTTAACGAAAAAATATCATCAAGATAACGGTAAGTGTTGTTGAATTTATCAATTAAATGCAATTTAGACGGGTCTTTACTGAGTTTGGTAATAAACTGTGATTCATAACAGTACAAGAACAAGTCTGCTATTAAAGGGGCGCAATTGGTGCCCATAGGAATACCTACAACCTGTCGATAAACTTTATTGCCGAAACGTACATAAATATTATCAAGGAGAAAAATTAACAGCTTCAATTATCTCATCACACCTCCAGTAAGTATATCTAGCATATTTACCTTTCTCATTAGAGAAGAAGGCTTTAAATGAGTTGCAGCAAATATATTTGCATTCAGATTTACCAAACGACCATTTAATTAAATAGAAAAACTTTGTTTGATAAGATTGTGTGGAAGTGTGGTGTAAAGAGTTGAAAAGTCAACAGAATCAAAAGGACCATCAAAAGCATGTAGTTAATCTAAAACATCCAAAGAATTTTTTACACTTAAAAAATAGTTAATTCCACTTTTTCATATGTTTTATTACAAAAGTTAATGATAAGTTCTTTGATAGTAGTTACGGAACTAGTTAAAAGCACTGAAAGATTAGTTGTAGAACACTTACTAGAGGCCGAGATGAAACGATATTTTACTGTTTTTTTTTTGTAGTTTAGGTAAACAATACATAGTAGGGACCTTCAAATGTCCAGAAGAGACCTTAAGCTGTGATGTGGTTATGATATGTTTGTTCACTATATGACTCTCTGTGGAGCGCACGGACTTGAATGTAGATGAATTTAAAATTTCATTCTTAAGAACGTCCTTGTAGTAATTACGGCATACCACCACCACATTGTTGGCTGCTTTGTCGTCCGGTACAAACACAAACCGTTTTGAAAGTACTTGAAGTTTGTTTCTAATTCTAGAAATAGGCATATTATGTACTCTTTTATTTATTTCTGAAATGTAGGTCTTAATTACTGCATTTTAGGGGTGAATGCTGACAGTGACAAAATAAAACTCAGATATGAAATTTAAACAAAGTAACTGAATCATAAGCAGTTCGACGATGGTTTTCTTCTGATCGAAGTTAAAGTTATAGTCCCATGGACACATCACTATACTAATTTTTATGGAGGTCCTTTGGTGTCTTAGAATTGAGCTTTCTAAAAAGAATAAAACTTTCTAGTGCGACACCGATTTTTACAATAAAAGAGAGGCAAAAGATACCAAAGGGACATTCAAACCCATAAGTCAAACAATAGTACACAAAACACAACATATATAAAGGTGTATATCATTATTACCTAGTAATTGTTTTTGTCTAAATTCTTGCTAATATATCAGAGTGATTTCATGAATCAAACTATTTTAAATTGGCCATTACTTTTTATTAATAATGACTAAATTACACCCAGAGAACAAGGGCATTTACTTCACCACAATCACTTCACCACTTCGGATTGTTACGTGAAGTATTTTCAGTAAGAAAAACATTAAATGTATAAAATTAATAGAGTTACGCGCTAATATACACTTTGAAAAATGCCATGTGAAAAAGATTTTTTTTTAATGTTCTCAGAAGTCAAACAGACTATCAAATTTTAACGATCACATACAGCAGCATAGAGTTGGGAAAGATTTTGCATGAAGAAACATACTAGATTAATTTATTTCACATCACCAACTTGTGCTGATTTAGAATTAACTTAACAGAAAATCTACATACCTTTCAAATATATTTTTAACTTCATTATGAAGATCTGGATTCTCAAAGTCTGAAGAATTAACAGTCCCTGTTGTAGAAAAAGGACGTTGTTCACATATTTTTTTTATCTAATCAACTAAATATAATGCACCAAACAGATTCTCAATACAAAAATAAGGTAGTATGATTGCCAATGAGACAACTATCCACCAGAGTTCAAATGACGAAGAAAAAAAAACAATTATAGGTCTACGTACAACCTTCAACAATGAGAAAAACTAATGCCGTATCGTCAGCAATTAAAGGCCCCGACATGACAAAATGTAAATCAATTCAGGCGAGAAACTAACGGCAAAATACAATTTACGAAAATCAAATATGCCAGACATGAACCAACGACTACCACTGATTTACAGACTCCTGAGTTGGGGTCCAAACAACGTCATCGAAACCAACCTCTATAAAACCGTCAAAGTCATTTTTAAAAGAGACACATTCTTATCTGGGATAAATGATCCGAGTTTGATCAGCATCCTGTAAAAAATATGTTATGAGACAAAACACCTCCCATAAACAAGTGCTTATTGCATCACAAAGAACCAAGTCACATGTTTATAACTGAATTGCAGGGGCTGATCAATAGAAACTCCTTTGCTGGGGACACAAAGGCTGAACAAGATGGGGTTATAGGGAGGATGTTGAGAGGCAGTAGGTGGACTACAAAATATACACCGAGAGCACCACGGTGTATAGCAATAGGTCTAAGTTTCTCTGCGTTAGGGTAGGACTCCCCCACGAAGGTCGTCTGTCAGTTGGCTGAGTGGATGTGTAAATGAAATTAGAATGTAGGACAGAAAGTCACAGGAAAAAAAGTCACAGACAAAAAGTCACTGGACAAAAAGTCACAATTCAGTTTTGAGATTATTTTTCTTTGAATAAGACAACTTTGTAAACAAAATTTATTCTGAAAAAAAAAATAACGAGTATATAATTGTTGAGAAAACAATTTGTTCCAGTGGCCTGGTACTTAAACGGCTTCATTGTGTCAAGAAATGTATCCTTTTGAATCTACATTTATCAAGGCTTATGAACGATTTCCTTAACTGTGAAATTAATATATTTAATAAAAAGAAATTATTTCAAGAGCTTTCTCTTATATATTCAAACAATTCTAAACAAATTATTTGTTAATTTTTGTCCTTGGACTTTTTGTCCTATCAAATTTGTGACTTTCTGGCCTGTGACTTTTTGTCCTATCAAATTTGTGACTTTTTGTCCTGTGACTTTTTGTCCTGTGACTTTCTGTCCTGTGACTTTCTGTCCGTTTACCGTAGAAATACGTATGAACAGCGACGTCAGGTCGAAATTGGAAGGTAAATTTGATGCCTTATTATTATATATGGAAAGGGTCATGGTCTATTCATTGACAAGTTAACATACCCTTTTAACAACTCTTTCAGGGGTTTGTAGTTGACCAGAATGAGATTGCAAGGCGAAATGTGTACCCCTATCCAACATGTCAACATTTTCCAGTGTCAGTTCAAATTACCCGCCCTTCACCTTGTTCAACCCTTGACTTTGCATGCTTGCACGGCTATCTATTTGATGTCTTTGTAATTCGTTAACTTAATATTACTGAAATAAAGACGTAAAGCACACAACAATCAAACAATTAATCAAGACATCTTCACAACTTATATACATGTCTTCGAAACATATAGACATGAGTCAGAAGGTCCCTGAAGGCAAATAAAAAATCATAAGTCGAAGAAAAACTGACATACCATGACGGCAAACGAACGAAATACTGCAACGAAAAGACAAACAATAGTCTACAAAACACTACACAGACAACAATGGCTGAGCAACACGAAACACTACTAAAAACGGGAGAGATATCAGGTGCTCCGGTCGGAAAGTTTAGCAGATCCTACTTCACATGTGGTACCCGTCGTGTTTATCCTGGCAAGTAAAAATACGATGATCAGTTTTTATACGGAGTTTCATCAAGTTCATTTGAATAGTTCTTAATTGAATTGTTCACTATATATATTGACACTTTCAAAATCGTCAAAACATTGGATTTTTTAATTCTTTTTGGTTTACTTTGAACTTAGAAAAACACATCAGACTTTATAGATGAGACCGAACTCTGAACCACCTAAACCAGAAATATCAACCACTGACTTGTTCTCCTGGACTGCAGGTTGTCAAAAAAAAGTCGGCTATATCATTTTGGTGGCCGATTTCTCTAGATTTGTAGTCTCCTGTGATAAATCTGGCAGCTCTCCGTTGAATCCTTCCTAGTTGCCTAATGTCGTCTGTTGTATTTAATCCTATACTAATGCCCTATATTCCATCGTAGATCTTACTAATGAACCATAAGTTGTTTTCTTGCAGTCTTTGAAACAGAATCGTAGATTTCGTCTAAAAAAGCCGAGTTTTTTTAACATGACTAGCCGGTCATAAATCCATGGTTAACTGACGTAAAGTACCCTAGGCTTATATAAGTGTTTTAGCATGTGCTTACAGATACTAGTAATGTGTTCCAGTATTTTACAAGGCACAGATGTTAATGATACTGGTGTTCTGGTGCGTGTTTTCTCTTTTCTTGAATACGCCTAAGATGTTAGCGTTTAATCATTCTCTTGGCAGTGATCCAGTGTTTATGGACTTTTGGTGTATCGTTGTTAGTCCCGGGGCTAGTTGTTTAGAGCACTCATTTGAGATTCTATTTTGTATGCCATCTGGATCTGACGCTTTTAATGGGTTAATTTATTCAAGCTATTTTCAACGCTTGTTTGTCTTATTTCTAAGGATGGTATCGTATTCTTAATATGTTTGGAAGTGTTTTGTCGTTGTCTGTGGTAAAAACCGCTTTGAATTGTTGTATCAGTAAGTCTGCTTTTCCTTTATTGTCGTTAACTACATGGCCGTTGCTTTTCAATAATGTCCGGTTTTCTTGATTTTTGTCATGTTTTTAGAATGGCTTCGGGTTGTTTTCCAGTCCTTTTAAAATTGAAGAGTTTTGTTTATGTATCCCCATTAAGCTTTCCTGATTTAGTTGTCGCTTGCATTGTTTTTGGAAATGCCTATTGTTTGTCCAGATCTTGGTTCTCTTTGCCTGTTTGTATAGCCTTGTTTTCATTTTCCTGATTTTTTGGTTTATCCTTCAGTTAGTAGGCTTGTTTTTAAGCAGATTTTGATGGCATATACTTGTCCAAGATGGGGAACAAGTTCTTTCTTGAATGTGTCCCATAAATATTGTACTGTAGCACCATTTTGTTACACAGCTGTGATTTTGGTTGATAGTATAAATATGTCGGATTTATCTGTTTATAATAAATAATTTCCGGTTTGAGTGATAATTATATTAATTGGATTTTCCTTTTAGGAACCCCAGTCAATAAACAAAGTGTTCTTGTTTTAGCTATGAAATTATAAGGAATTATTGTACCCAATTGTTTATTTAACAGTTTACCTTGATAATTATAGCGGACTAACCTTTTTTTTTACAAATTAAATGTATACTTTTTAAATTTTCAGCTGTTTTGATTAACTTTCGACTATTATATATTTTCTATACCACGGTATTGTTATTGTATAGTAGCGACTAAATTCTTTAGATCTATTCAAAAATGTGAAATAATGCAAGGTCAAATGTATGACTAATGTCTCTGCCAGGGAGGGGGTGCCCAAAGTGCCCTTTCTCCATCTGAATCCGCCCCATTGAATTGTGATGAAGATTTTTTTTCACATAGCTTATACCTATGGTATGTAAGTAGATATCTGACTGTTGTCCCACTTATATAGTTATACACAACTTGAAAATATATGATCCTGTTACAAAGTTTATTATTAAAATATCCAGACATAGCAATGATTTAATTGTTCCTTCCTTTGGGAAAAACCCGACTAAAATTTGCTAGTTAACAAGAATATATGTTTATATGACACAATGTCCCACTTGCGCTTTCACATTTCTATGTTCAGTGAACCGCCCAATTTTGGTCTTAACCCTACTATGGCACATATTCTTTAAAAGTTGACATTATAATAAACACGGCATTGTAAACATTGTTTATCTAATTTTAAGTCTCTATCTCTCTGTCCACGACTTCATACTGAGTTACCCACCTTAAACCAAAACTTTAATCTATCTCAAAACACTGCTTTAACCCGATACTTGTCGACGGACGGACGCACATGGAAACCATAATGCGGATCATTTGCTCCCTACTATCGTAGTCGGGTCATAAAAATGAAAAAAAAAATAGTAATGAAATAGTTTTTCATATCAATGAAAGATTTTTAATACATGCATTAATTAACATATCCAACTATCGCGGTCATCACGTGACTTTTACAATTCAGTTGTATATCATTAATGGCCGATTGATTATCAATGAAAATGAACGGGCTACATAGATTAAACGATCATAACTTTTTTGTTACATTGTATATTTTACCTTCCAACCCCGCGTTTTATAGTATTTTCATTTTCACAATTAAAAATGTTTTAAGTTTCAGTTCAGAAATATGATTTCTTGCTTCAAATTAAGTTTGAAAATGGAGGTGACATAACCAAACAGCCTCCGTTGACTTCTTCGTTAAAACTCAATAAAATTGCAATGGGACCTTCTTATATGATCAATTTTCTCAACTTATAATTTGTTAATAATATCCTTCCAACCCCTAAAAAGATCGACAACACATTCATTTAAATGAAATCGAAACCCAAATCAGTTTAGGTAACAAACTTTTTGCTTCAAAATTTGATTGAAAAGTTTACATTTTGGCATTCGTTAACAATATTTTGAAAATGGCGGCCGATGTCGGAAGTGAACAAAGACACGACATGTATTCATTTAGCAATTAATTAAAAAGTAATTTGTGAAATATTTATTAAAGTGTGTCTTATTGTTTTTAGAAATTTCTTATTTCACCTTTAATTTAATATATTTATTAGAAACAGTCTCTCGCACTCAAAACAAAGATTTATATGCATCAACCATGCATTGTTTACATTGACCATGTTGACAGCGTAGGTCGACTTGTGAAAATATATATTGTAATATTTTTACGATGACAATCAAAAAACTGTTGGATGCATGCGTTTTCAGTTTTTGTCTTACCTTAAAGCAGCATAGAATCAAATATTTTGTCTTTTTGATAATGTGGATACATGCTTTTTGTTTTGATAAAATTTCGAAGTTACGAAACAAAATGGCGACCAAACAATTTTCAAACGTAGACGATGTTCGACACTTATTTTGCCCATGCAAATAACACAATTTAATTTCACTGTTTATATTGCAATCAAATATGACACGTTATTGTCACTCTAATAATACCCAAGGACATAGCTTGATTAAGGAGATATTAAGTCATCAACGTGATCAAAGAAAACAAACACGGCACCTAATCACGATGTAAGATCATGTAAGTTTTGACAAGACTTATGTAGATTAGTATGGTCCGATTCTTATAGAAATTATTTGATGGTATTATTTTATATTAAAAAAAAAAAACTCGAAACCCGAGGTGAAATATCTATATTTTTCAATTTTCTAAATCATTCATCACACGGGTTACCAGTAAATTTTTCATAATCCTAATTAAACCAGTTACATGCAGAGTTATCGAACGTAATTATGACTGGTATAGTTGCATATGAAAAAATAAATCGGTTATCAACAGCAATGCGTTTAGCAAACCGAAAATAAATACACAAGACTTCGAAGAAGAAAAAACAAACAATAATTACAAAAACAAAAAAATTTAAACCAAACAAATTTGTAGCATTGTCATTATAACAAAAACTATATCTTTGATAAACGACTCAATTCTTAATCCAACAATATGTAAAAACAACACATAATTATATATACAATCTTACCACTGAATATAGCATCTGATGCTTTCTCTCTTTTCTTTGACTTTGATTCGGACATTTGTTATTATATTCTCGAACACTTATAAAGTATTCCTTATTAGTACGAAAGAAACTACTTTAGTCGAAATTTTGTCAAAGTTTTATTCAGTTGTGGACCCGGATGACAAAATCTGTACAACTAGCCTGGTTCTCTCCCTTACAACATACGGGTATCTGAGCCAAACAAATAAAGGACAGGGAAACAGTCTACTGTACAAATAGTTAATTTGAAGGCAATTATTGGAATTCAATAGATAATGTGACAATATGTACTAACTTGACAGTCTTCAAATTTAAATGTTCAATATTATGGGAGGTGATTACCACCATTATTCTATATAATTTTATTCTATTCTTGTACTGTACTGTTTGCATATGTTGATATAGCTGAATTATAATTATATCCTTGTCATTGCTCCCCCTTTTTGGAGGGACCTTAATTGGAATACCGTACATTTTGAATTGTATTCTTTTTTGGTTAACTTATTCTATTTCTATCTTTCTTTCAGCTTACATTTTGCTTTTGTCTTCATGACATTTTAACTTCTATTTATCGTGGTGAGTGTTCATCAGTCCATTTTTAATAATATTCTCAAAATATCTTTCTGGTGTGCGCATTTGTTAATGTGCTATTAATAAGGCCCTCTTCACTCCTTACGACTGATTACAGTTATATTGGCATTTACCATTTTTATAACAAAATTCAAAATGTAAAAATGCAGAATACATCAAGGGTGAATAGAATTAGTAAAGGTGAATTATCACGACATATGGCGGTGAATTTACAAGAAGTATTGCTCCCATTCGGCAAATCTCGGCAGATTAAGTACCCTTTATAAAACGTTCGATTAAAGGTGCCGGAATCTACCGAGGTGTACCGAATGCTACAGCTGCATCAGCAAATGTAATTTTGGAACGTCTAATTACAGAGTGGCTGTATTCGAAAAAACAAACCATTACAAATTTCAAAATTTCCCTGGTTCAAATGCTTACGGGTAATTTCAGTAACGTGGTTTTACCTAAATGTTGCATTGAACCTATTCATTCATTCATTCATTCATTCATCCATCCATGCGTTGGCACAGCCTCCAGGATTTTTAAAAAGGAATTTCACTTTGAAATGGGGGGAGGGGGTTAGAAGCTGAATTTTCGTCGATTTTTACTTGATTTAAAAAAATATCCGAGTGTGTGTGTTATCGTGCTATTGAGAGACTGAGATTTTACTTTTTACATGATTGGTCTTCAATTACAATTCTATCTAACATATATATTGACGTTATATATATAGTTAGATATACTGTTCCCAGGCAATACTAATAGAGGAAGCCTGTTTAGTGTGTCGCTTCTTTTACTACAAGAATGTTTTAGTCGGTATGACCCTGTTTCCTGAAGCTATTATGCATTGGATAGTTTGTTATCCTCACTTTTCCTCTATAAATTTGGATTATCATATCTTTCAATAGTTTAGTGAATTTGTGGATGTCTTCTAGTATATATTATCAATTGGTTGGTAGAATAATTACTATTACATTGTTTGGTAGGAACTTGGGCCCTTCTTAAATGATCTTATAGAATTGGGATCTAAATAGGTGGTTTTTTTTAAAGATAAATTGCTTTAACGTGTTAAATACTTAAATAAATGAAATATGTCATATGAAGTAAAGAAGGTCCTAAAATTAAAAAAACGTATTCGTAAACAAGAAAAAAAGAAATATCTTAAATGCACGAAAACAAAATATCAGTTGAATGAAAGACTGTTATAAAGATAAAATGGATTTCGCATGCATATAATTATGGTTGTATTTATCGTCCATTCATAACACAATGGTTATTTTTGAATAGCTTTAAATTGCAAGCAATTGGAGATTTGATCATAGAAGTAGATAGGTATCGAAATATTCATCTGAATAGATTTTAAATAAGTTATATTAGATTTCGGAATATTAAAAAATATATGATTATTTCATTATTATAATTATGAAAAAAAAATACTTTTCAATTATTAATATTTTACTGACATTTTTCTTTCACAGTCATTCGAGAGAAGTAATAATCATATCAATAAAAACAGCAGTAAAAGACAGCAATTTGTATAGAGGAGTATACTGTGTCCACGAATAGCAGTGAAAGTTCATCGTCTAATTATAGACTTCATTTATAGTTGTATGTTTGCTACTTATTCTAATTGCAATCTTGAATATGTTTCAATTTTCCAAAGTTAATGGACATAATTACTTACGACCTCCACACGGAGCTAGGACACCTGTCAATTAATAAACAACAGTAGAGTACTATATGATCTTATCCAGATATTTTCAACGATATTTCTAAACGCCATGTAATCATAGTTTAAATTGTAAAACGGAAAGGATTATTTGTTTGAATTGTAGCTGGTTATCAGCCAGCGACGAATATTACTTACATTTTCAGTAAAATTTCATCTTAAAGAGATATTAATTTAACTTACTTTGTAATCGACGTCCACACAGAGCTTAACATGCAAGCTGACAAGTTATCAGTTCGCCATACATTGCCACATTAGTGTGGCCGAACCAACTTGTATTTATTTGACAAGCAGCATAGACTAATTTTAAAGTGTCTGGTTTACCCAGTTGGGGATCGAAGTAACTACCTACCGCAACTGAAGCAAGCCCTAGCTATCACAAGATCTCCAATGCGTTCGAAACTAGAACTGACATTCCTTGATAAGACCACACTTGAATGTTTGCACGTGTTACTAAATACAAATAAAGGATATTGGTGACAGTTATGTTCATCTTTTATTTAACATTTGCTCTTTTTCAGTTAGTTCTATATCAATTTCAAAATCTAAAGACATGTCTTTTTTATGATTGTCTTTGTTTTGACACAGTGAACTCAACAGTCCAATGAAAGCTCCGCATAGTAGAAGTACACCTAAAAATACATTGGAAAAATAAATTAATTGTAACAGATAGTAAATCAATCCATGTAATGCAAACTGGTAATATATTTTTACTCTTGAGAAATCAATATAAGAGGGTTTTGATGGGGTTTACAGAATAGAGAATATTGAGCAATAAGTGCAGAAAAAGGGCTAAAAAATATAAAGAATAGAGAAAAATAGGCAAAAAATAAAGAATAGAGAATAATGGGATCCTGAAATATAAAGAGAAGAGAAAAAATGGCCTAGAAATATAAAGAATAGAAAAATTGCCTGAAAAGTTAAAGAATACAAAAATTGATGACCCCCCCCCCCCCCCCCAATCAAAACCCTCATATAAGAACAACTACAAGGTGTTTGCTGAAGTAAGACTAAAGTTCATTGTTCCATGATGTTGAGGTTATACCATAATTTTTTTAATGAGAATCGGTTATTTTTTACATCAACAATTTCAAGTTAAACAGTGTAAATATTTAAGAATGTTTGCTTACTATAACACTGATAAACGCTGACGCTAGTCATGATTTTGAAGCCAAAATTTGCAAATATGTATCAAAAGTTTTCGGTGATCATTTAAAAAACAAAGTTCAGCAATATGACATAATGTTATCAATCAGGAGAGTACACACATAAAGCTGTTAGTTGCGTAGGAGATTTGAGTAAATAATAAAAACAATTAAAAAAAATAGTGAAATAATATTTTTTTCTGATTTAGGCGCTGATATAACGATGGTTCGTGAAGAAAAACATGATTTGATGTAACAGTCATATGAGTATCACGTGCACTATATTGGTAGTCGTGTAGTTTCATGACCTATGTGTGTTTCCTGTCTTTCCTTTTCGTCTGATATTATTATTAACAAACCTGCTGCTGTAAAAGAATCACCGTATGTTCCACCAAAGTCAACAATAAATCCTACAAAATAATAATAGATGGAAAATATTTTTGCTGTTTGATTTTTTGTTGTGCTAATGGGTCGTCGACGCCAAGGATTGATTTGGGAATAGGAATTTGGCCACCCGCGACTTCTCCTGTCCGGCTGAAGAATCGTTTCAAAATTCGGATGACCGTTTGGCTGTCTTTGATGTATAAATACACAGCCACGTCGCTCTCTGCGTGTTATTCAATTTGTATTAATTGTTTATTTGTTCTCATTCTAAACTAATCGCCACTACATGGGCATTACACAAGCAAAACTCTACCAATCATAACTTGTAGTCATAACATGACATAAAAATTTTCTCTCACTTTTTAAGAGTTCATATTTGATTCATTAAATCACAAAATGAATTCGCTTTATCATCTGAGTTCACGATTTATCATATGGTTTCACGCTTTATCATCCGAGTTCACGATTTATCATGTGGTTTCACGCTTTATCATGATGGTTCTCCATATTTAATAGATATAGGAAGATGTGGTATGAGTGCCAATGAGACAACTCTCCATCCAAGTTACAATTTATAAAAGTAAACCATTATAGGTCAAGGTATGTTCCTTTTAAAGGTCTTTTCGGTATTTTATCTCAGCATTGTAATATTTAACAGTGTTAATCCTTATCTTCAGTTGATTTGAATTTGATGCTATTAAATTTCGAAATCATTTTAAATTAAGGAATGTATCGCCCTCATGCATAGCTCTGATTCCGTATCCTCGTTTGGATTTTCTTTTCGTACTTTTTTGTTTTATCAGCTCTTCGATGTTTGTAAATGTATTAGGTTTCGACTTTCAAATAGTTTGGCATGACTGTAGAAACAGTAAGAAAAGAATATATTTAACTAAGCGTAAAATTTGCCAATCATGAGATTTGAAAGAGAGGCGAAAGATGCCAAAAGGACATTCAAACTCATAAGTCGAAAATAACTGACATTAAAAAAGATTTTAAAGCAGACTTATGTTTGCTCAAATGAAATTTCATAAAAGTAAAATATTGCTTTTTAATAACTTATTTTGCTTAAAATGAAATTAAAAATGCATTACTTTTCATTATCCTGAAATCTTAAATAGGAACAATATTAATTACCTGCAAGAGGAGGTCCAAAAAGTGTTCCTAGCCCACAATAAAGCATTATGTATCCAATGCCATGAGCAAATCTCTCTCTTCCTATGATGCATATCACTATAGTGTTCAATACAATCCAACAACAACCGGAATAACAGCCAAGAACACTTGCATATATTATTTTAGCATAGAACTCATAACGGAAAAATGGGAAAACTATGGTACCAATGCCTAAAATACCAAAAGTTCCGAAAAGCGTAATAGTTTCATCGATATCGTGACTGTTGTTCGCCATGCCAAAAAGTAATTTGCCTATAGCACTCCATATACCAGCCAAGGACATGAATAGAGATATTTATGTTTTTGTTGAATTCGTCTGCAAACAGTATTTTGGAAAATGTAAATACAGAAGGAAAACGCTTATATCCGCTAAAAAAAGACATGCGCATATGCACGACATTGGTAAATTTTTCATAATGGACAAATACGGTCTACAAGAATTTTGAGGTCTTTGTTTTTGAAGAGGAGTGCGTTCTTTTGATCTTTTTTCTAATTCTGATTCCCAGAAAGTCGAAGCACATACACAATACTGTAAAGAGAGACCTCCAAGAAGGATAAAATATCCTGTTCTACCGTAGGTCTCATAAATAAACTGGAAAATAGGAGTTAGCAGAAACGGGCCTATACCTGATCCTGATATAGCGAATCCACATGCTATGTTTCGCTTTCGTTCAAAGTTGAATCCGAGAACAATTAGGCCAGAGTTATAGCATATGCCTAGACCAGTACCTTAAAAGAGATGAATACATGGATTATGAAATATTTTTATACTGTTTAAAAACTTTATCCAAGATACCGGGCTTTTCTTTATTATGAAGTAATGCTGTTCTACCACTGTCCCAGGTTAGCGGGAGGGTTTGGCGATCGCAAACCTCTTACTCCGCTACATTATTCATGTAGATATAAGAAGATGTGGTATGAGTGCCAATGAGACAACTCTCCATCCAAGTCAAAATTTATAAAAGTAAACCATTATAGGTCAAAGTACGGTCTTCAACACGGAGCTAGCCTTTGCTCACACCGAACAGCAAGCTATAAAGGGCCCCAAAAATTACTTGTGTAAAACCATTCAAACGGGAAAACCAACGGTCTAATCTATATAAAAAACGAGAAACGAGAAACACTTATGGACCACATCAACAAACGACAACTACTGAACATCAGATTCCTGACTAAGGACAGGTACAAACAATTGCAGCGGGTTTAAACGTTTTAATGGTACCAAACCTTCACCCTTATCTGAAACAATAGTGTAACATCACAACATAGAAAGACACACTATAAAATATCAATTGAAATGGCTTAACTCAATCAAAAGACATATTACACCAGTGAACATACACTGAACAAATAAATTTGATCTATGATACAATGTAAATACAAAATAAATAAATTAAGGGAAGAATAATAAAAGTAACATGTTATACCGCTGTGAAATGTTAAACAATTTAAGAAAAACAATATGCTTGAACAAAAATATCAGCCATTTGCAATTACTTTAAACACAGGTAAATGAAAATAATTTTGTTGTTAGGTATACGTGTACAGTTAAAATAGAGAAATGAAATATTTTAACAAAATAAATAATTTTGATGTTCATAGTACGAAGAAGTGAAAATTTATAGTAATGCCAAACACTTATCAAAGCTGGTATATAGACCAGATATAACCCTGAATAACATTAAATAACAAAAAAGCATTACAATTAGTATCAACAGGTAAAATAAACAAGAAAGTACGATTTGAGAGTACTCGCAGTTACTGACAGCTAGTTAAAAGCCAAAAAACAATTAATAATAAAAAATCATGCATCCGAGACTAAAATCAACTAAAACACATCCCAAGGATTTAGTGTTTTAACGTCATGGACAGTCAAAGAAGACATGACTTGTGCAATGCCAAAAATAAATGTATCGACAGGCAGTAGGATAGTTAGGAGTTAACCTCTTTATTGATCAAAATGAACGTGGGTGTGTCTTTATACATCCCGTTTGAAAAGAATACAAATTTAGTTATGTTTGAATTTGCTGATGACAAAATCGATATTAGTGCCAATGTAAACTATATTCAAAGATCTAATTACAACATTGGTAAGATAACCTTTACTAATAAGTTTGTTTAAAGGTTCGATGAGTTTACACGGATCACATAGTGATTTCTGCGCTTTAAGTACAATATTACCGTAAAATTTAGGATGTGAAATACCGTTTTTAATCAGTTTTCTACAGGTACAGCCAAATTTACTAATCATATCTTTGTATCTATGAAAGAATTTAGTAAAAGTTTTACGTAATTTATGGTAACGAAATCCCTGACTTAATAATTTACCAGTGATGCATTGATTATGTTCGTTAAAATCTATGACATCACTACACACACGGGCATAACGAACGAGTTGGGATATATAAACACCGAATGATGGAGCCAAAGGAACATCGCCGTCTAAAAAAGGAAAATTAACAACAGGGAATGAAAAGTCGTCTCTTTTGTCGTAAATTTTAATATGGAGTTTTCCTTTAGAAATTGAAATGTCCAAATCTAGAAAAGGACAACTACTGCTGTTTATGTTAGATTTAGTTAAAGTTAGTTCTTTTGGGTAAATTTCGGTGGTATATTTAGAGAACTCTGGATTATTTAACGAAAAAATATCATCTAGATAACGGAAAGTGTTGTTGAATGTATCAACCAAATGTAACAATGACGTGTCTTTACTGAGTTTGGTCATAAACTGTGAACATACACTGAACAAATAAATTTGATCTATGATACAATGTAAATACAAAATAAATAAATTAAGGGAAGAATAATAAAAGTAACATGTTATACCGCTGTGAAATGTTAAACAATTTAAGAAAAACAATATGCTTGAACAAAAATATCAGCCATTTGCAATTACTTTAAACACAGGTAAATGAAAATAATTTTGTTGTTAGGTATACGTGTACAGTTCAAATAGAGAAATGAAATATTTTAACAAATTAATAATTTTGATGTTCATGGTACGAAGAAGTGAAAATTTATAGTAATGCCAAACACTTATCAAAGCTGGTATATAGACCAGATATAACCCTGAATAACATTAAATAACAAAAAAGCATTACAATTAGTATCAACAGGTAAAATAAACAAGAAAGTACGATTTGAGAGTACTCGCAGTTACTGACAGCTAGTTAAAAGCCAAAAAACAATTAATAATAAAAAATCATGCATCCGAGACTAAAATCAACTAAAACACATCCCAAGGATTTAGTGTTTTAACGTCATGGACAGTCAAAGAAGACATGACTTGTGCAATGCCAAAAATAAATGTATCGACAGGCAGTAGGATAGTTAGGAGTTAACCTCTTTATTGATCAAAATGAACGTGGGTGTGTCTTTATACATCCCGTTTGAAAAGAATACAAATTTAGTTATGTTTGAATTTGCTGATGACAAAATCGATATTAGTGCCAATGTAAACTATATTCAAAGATCTAATTACAACATTGGTAAGATAACCTTTACTAATAAGTTTGTTTAAAGGTTCGATGAGTTTACACGGATCACATAGTGATTTCTGCGCTTTAAGTACAATATTACCGTAAAATTTAGGATGTGAAATACCGTTTTTAATCAGTTTTCTACAGGTACAGCCAAATTTACTAATCATATCTTTGTATCTATGAAAGAATTTAGTAAAAGTTTTACGTAATTTATGGTAACGAAATCCCTGACTTAATAATTTACCAGTGATGCATTGATTACGTTCGTTAAAATCTATGACATCACTACACACACGGGCATAACGAACGAGTTGGGATATATAAACACCGAATGATGGAGCCAAAGGAACATCGCCGTCTAAAAAAGGAAAATTAACAACAGGGAATGAAAAGTCGTCTCTTTTGTCGTAAATTTTAATATGGAGTTTTCCTTTAGAAATTGAAATGTCCAAATCTAGAAAAGGACAACGACTGCTGTTTATGTTAGATTTAGTTAAAGTTAGTTCTTTTGGGTAAATTTCGGTAGTATATTTAGAGAACTCTGGATTATTTAACGAAAAAATATCATCTAGATAACGGAAGGTGTTGTTGAATGTATCAACCAAATGTGTCTTTACTGAGTTTGGTCATAAACTGAGATTCATAGCAATACAGGAATAAATCTGCTATTAAAGGGGCGCAGTTAGTGCCCATAGGAATACCTACTACTTGTCGATACACTTTATTGCCGAAAAGTACATATATGTTGTCCAGGAGAAAATTTAAAGCTTCAATCATATCTTCACATTTCCAGTAAGTGTAACTTTCCTTTTTCGTTACAGAAAAAGGCTTTAAACGAGTTACAACAAATAAATTTGTAATGAGATTGTTCAAAATCCATTTAATTAAATATGAAAACTTTTTCATGATAAGATTGTGTGTGGAAGTGTAGTATAGAGAGTAGAAAAATCATAACTGTCAACACAATTGAAAGGACCATCAAAAGCATGTATTTTATCTAAAACCTCTAAAGAATTTTTAACACTCCAAAAATAATTAATACCATTATTTTCATAAGCTTTATTACAAAAGTTAATAACAAGTTCTTTGATAGTAGTAAGGGAGGTAGTTAGAAGCACTATTAGATTGGTAGTAGAACACTTACTAGATGCGGAGATGAAACGGAATTTAAATGGTTTTTTATGCAATTTAGGTAACAATTACATAATAGGGACTTTCAAATGTTCGGAAGAGGCTTTAAGCTGGGTAGTGGCAGTGATATGCTTGTTTACAATTTGACTCGTGGAGCGTACGGACCTGAATGTAGATGAATTTGTAATTTCGTTTTGGAGAACTTCCGTGTAGTATATGCGTCACACCACCACTACATTATTTGCTGCTTTGTCTGCCGGTACGAACACAAACCGCTTTGCGAGTACTTGGAGTTTATTTTATATTCTAGAAATGGGAATATCATGGACCCTATTACTAATTTCAGAATTGTTTTCAAAATGAGATATACGAATATTAACAGTATTCATAATTTTATTCAAATAACTGTCTAGAGATTTTTTATCAGATTTTTCACGTTTACACCAATTATTACAGTAGACAGACAGAGCGTCTTTATTGACCTGACGACACTGTTTCCAATATATTTTAGATGTATGACGATATTTCGGTCCTTTCTTAAGAAAAGTTATGACCTCACGGTCTTCGACGATGTTGAGGTCTCCTGTAAGGACATGACCATAGGGAACATATCTAAAACTAGATGTTTCACAGTCTCAAGTGGAAGGAACATTATTTTCTATATTGACGTCTGATGTTACTGACGTATAATTAAAAATCAAACTTCTGCTGTTTTTTTTTTATAAGAATACGAAATAATGGGTGGTTCTATATTATCAAAATATGGAGGTATTTGGCTTTGGATGGTAGAGTCATTGAATATACTAGATAAGTTAATAAAATCAATACCTCTATTTATATATTTTAATTTAAGAAAATGCCGTTTATGATTTTCAGGTTTATCGATACTAGGAAATAGCCTATGATGACAAAAGGCTGTAATAATACGGGTGTATTCATACATTGGGCTAAAAAAAGAAATTTTATCACACTCACGAAAAATAGCATATAATTTACTTATTGGTATCTGACCCAGTTTGCATAATACTTGATGTCTGCCATTATTTTTTATTATAGACAACAGATCAGCAAGTGTATAATTTATACGATGTTTAATACGTTGATTACGGTTTTTGC